TCTGGTCTCATCTATAAATTGCGGTGTTGTGTTGGGCGGTCGATGAGGGTGCATATGCATGTAGGAAACTGGAATCGAACTGTTTGCTCCTTCACGTGACGCCCCGGCTAAAGTTGAAGCACGATGATGTTTTGGCCATTTCTGTAGGAAGCTTCCGGCGATCTGCGAGCCGCCGTGAGCTCGTGACACGAGCGTGCATCTCCAACCTACCGCAAACTGGCCGGCTACATGCTGAGCACCTGATGTGGTTGAAGCGCTAACCCATTATATATGAAAATTTTCATATAATTGATTACAAGGAAGGAACGGTTTAATAGTACTACTTCATCACTTATCTCATATACTCCCTCCATTCCTAAATATAAGTCTTTTTAAAGATTTTAATATAAACTACATACAAAGCAAGATGAGTGAATATACACTCTAAAATATTTATTGGTAATATTTCTCACATCAGAGGGTTTATGATACCAGAGTCTTGCGGGTGGTCAATGATTTCTCTGGGTAAGTCCTTTGAAACACCGCAATGTCAATACCCAAAGGCTCAAATTTGCCATAGTCATGATCCTACCCTTCTTTCATGTATGCATGTTTGTAGAGTAAAATGCATAGAACCACCACTTTCGCGTCATAGCTCTCAGAAAATCACCACTTAACAAAACGTGACAGCACCAAAAAATGACAGTGGCAAAGAGTACTGAACTGTTTTTGAGCAAGTTTTGACGTGGCCGATCACTCGCGAGCCGAGAGCGGCGACGGCGCACCGTTAACGGCCGTCTTTTTTGGCTCGGGATGAAGCTGTTAGGCTGGGCTGGGCTGGGCTGGGCGCGTTTGATCGTTTCTATTTACCGAGCTGCTGGGTCAGGCTGGGCTGGGTGATATTTGTTGGGCCGGGCTGGGCGCGTTCGATCATTTTTATTTACTGGGCTGCTGGGTCGGGCTTTGCTCCTTCGATTTTTCTCAAACAAAAAAAATTACACAACGGTAGTTCGATCGATTGACTGCGCCTGTTCGGTTTCTCTAGAAAACCCCAACCTCTACACACACAGTGCATTCATTCACATTCACTCTCCTTGCACAGATAACCACCACTCTCCATCACCTCTCCATCCAACTTCCTTCTTCCCACCCAAACAAAAGAAAACCTCCATCGCGCCATGGCATCTGGCCTCGGATGGGACCAGGCGCTGCAGGAGATCTTCGACGATAACAATACCAAGCTCTCATACGCGCGCGAGGTGGGTACCTGGTACACCAACGTTGCAATCTTCAAGAATCATGCGCGCGCACTGATTGAGAACTTGGTCTGGGTGATGGGGGAGGCCAAAGATTCTCCGGGTCCATTCCAACAGGCACGATGCTACATGTACCAGAACCGCGACCAACTGCACGTGGACTACAAGCTCGACATGGTGGTGCCAGTGCTGCCCATCGCTCTGATGGAGATGAAGCCGCCACAGATGGAGCAGTAGGTGCAGGTGCAGGTGGAGGCGCCGCAGATGAAACAGCAGAAGATGGAGGAGCAGCAAAGGGAGGCGGAGACATGCACAAGCAGTAGGAAGAGGAAGAAGAAGCAGCTCCGCATCATGGGGCCAGTTCGTCGATCACTCCGTCTTTAGAAAGCTGCAACAAGAGTGAGTCTAATGCACCACTTAGGTCCTAGTTAATTTCTGTAGCAAGATCTGAACCAATATATGGGTTCAATTAGTTTCTGAACTTCTTAGTAGTGGAATTGCGTCTGAAGAACTAGAACTATGTGTGCTTTCTGAACCTATCTATCTATCTATCTATCTATCTATCTATCTATCTATCTATCTATCTATCTATCTATCTATCTGCTCACATTATGTAAATGACATCTATCTGGATGTTTGTGGTCATGGTTTCTGGATGTTTGTGGTCATGGTTTGTGAACTCATCTATGATATCTATCTATCTTTCTGAATGTTTGTGGTCATGGTTTCTAAATCTTTGTGCTCACATTATCTGAATGACATTGCTCATATTATCTGAATATTGATGCTCATATTATCCATTATAAATGTCAAACTATGGTGCTCTAGGTTTCTGATTTTTAGGGTTGGTGCTCTAGGTTTCAATTCAAAGAACTATAGTTATGTTGTAGGTGTCAATACAAAGATAAAATATCATAATATCTAAATCTCAAACTTTTTTCAGTCAGCTTACTATGGAATTATAGGTGTGCTCTAGGTGTCAATGCAAAGATAAAATATTAGTATATTTGGATTGAATAAAGTCTGAACACTGCAAGTTTGAATATTGCAAGTTCTCTCCTAGTAAGGGACACTTGCTGCTATTAATCAACACAATTTTGAACATTAAATTGAGCACACCTACTAACACTTCACATCAGTCAAATCACTTTAACCCATGTACACTGACTCACTCCTTCTGTGGTCAACTTGTCCACTGCATCACTCAACCCAAAATTAACTCATGTACCCACTACACAACACCCTGTAAATTTCAGTAGTGGCATTTGGTGTTAGCTTCATTCAGTCCACAAAAGTAACTTGCCCTATAATAATTAACCATTTGCAAACCCTAAAATTCAGTCAAATAGAGCATGAAAATTCAGTATGATGTCAAAACCGCGTGAACTTCATGTTATGTTGATGTTTGAACTCTTCCTTGTGTGTGCTTGAGAACTATTGCACCTTGTGTGTGATTGAGACCTATGAACTTTTGGAGTGGAGTGTGCTTGACAACTATTGCGCCTTTATCCACTATTGCTTCTATGTGGTAGGTGCATGAGAATTATTGCTTTTATGTGCGATGTTGCTTATTTGTGGGATGTGCTATATGTTGTTGTTGTATATGTTTTGCTGCAGTGATAAACCAAAAATAAGGAAAAAAAGTCTATTGGACAAAACTTTACTAAGGGCCACACTCGGTAACATATGTTATCCCGAGAGCTCCTCTCTGTAAAGCCTCTTGAACTGGAGCAGGCTGCTAAGCTTGCCGAGTCAAACTCTCGGCAAAATGTACTGACCTGTAGAGCCTGGCATCTTTGCCGAGGGCATCCATGCTCTCGGAAAAGTAAATAAACTTTCCTGAGAGGAGCTCTCGACAAAGCACGGGCTCGGCTTGTGAGGTGGTGGACACATGGCAGTTTGCAACTGGTTAGCTTTGCTGAGAGTAGTTCTCGGCAAAGCAGCGGCTCAGCATACGGTGTGGAACCCACCTGTCAGGTGGTGGACACGTGGCAATCTGATATTCATTAGCTTTGTCGAGAGAGCACTCGGCAAACCAACGGCTCGACGTAGATCGTGGGATCCGCCTGTCAGGTCATGGGCACGTGGGAGTTTGCTACTCGTTAGCTTTGCTGAGAGTAGCTCTTCGTAAACGAACGGTTCGGCGCAGGGCATGGGACCCGGCTGTCAGGTCATGGACATGTGGCAGTTTGCTACTCGTTAGCTTTGCCGAGATTGGCTCTTGGGAAAGCTGCGCCACATGGCTACCCAGTCTCCGTCTGTCGTCCGTGAGTCAGCTTTGTTTTGCCAAGGGTGCTGTTAGGCTCTCGGCAAACTGTTTGCCGATTTCCTGACAGTTGGTTCTCTCGGCAAAGTTTTGTTTGCCTCAGTGGTGTACGCAGGGTGGTCTTTGCCAAGAAAATTTGGCAAAGACTTCGCCGAGTCTTTCTGGCACTCGGCGTAGTGTGTAATTTCCAGTAGTGTATGCATATGAATTCATTTTAAATATAGCAATACCACAAGATCAACTAGGGTTCATCCACACATCCATATCCATCCATTGATACACACATCAATTCCAATTAAATTTAGTTACAAAAATTTAAAACTAGATGAACTAGGGTTCACCTATATCCATACATCCAACATATATGCATCCATTCATCCACATTCATATATCCATCCATTCATTCATCGAAATTTCAAAACTACTCCCTCCAATCCTGCCCGTTCGGAAGTTCTCCACCAGCCAGCGCTAGCCAGCTTCTCGAGGAGCCAGCGCTAGCCAGCTTCTCGAGGGAGCGAGGAGCATTCGACCCTGTGCCTGCAAGCTCGCTGTGCTGGGGCCACCAGGGCTGGGCCATAAGAAAAGAAGAAAACGTTTCGATAGGTACTTCGGGGTGGTACATGGATGTAAATTTCAACAACTCCTACTTCTGGTTTTAGCGAAGCTGGGATTCCGCTGCTCCTCAAAATTGCACGCAGCGATCGTTTTCTCCGTGAAGCCCGCTTCTAGGAGAAGGAATGTTCGGGCTGGCTTCATGCAGCTGTTTAGGAAGCTGGCTCCTGAAGAACTCCCGAACGGGCCCTAAATATAAGCCTTTTTAGAGATTCTAATATAAAATACATACAAAGCAAAATGGATAAATCTATAATCTAGAATGAGATCTCGAAAAAGTTTCAAACCAGAGTCAGAGTTGGCTTAACTTTTCCAAAAAGGTTGAAACACTGAATTCGGCCACCGGCGGAGGCTGTGGCCGGTCGTCCGGCTGGAATCATTTGCCTAATTCTTTTGCACCAAAACCGCCTTCACGGGACGCCTCTGATGTCCATTCCTGCACTAGTGACCGGACCACACGGTAGCGTTGGAACCATTTTATCTTCTCGTCCGGCTCAACACTCCTTTGCCTTGATTGGACACGCTTCTTATCGAGAGAGAAACATAGAATCACGTACCCATTCCCACTTGGAGTTTGGCGTATATACACAACATCAAGGGCGTTCTTGGTCGATTCCTTGAAAATGCAGAGAGAAACAAAAAGAAATGTTCCATGGACAATAATAATATATGCCCATTTCCACTAAAGCGAATATTTTGTTTGGAGATAGAAATAGAATATTTGAGTAAACTTTCGGCGTTGGTATCATCAGCAAGCACAGCTTCATCAATCATTCATGTGCTATATAAAGGGCGGTGGTAGCCAGGGGCTGAGGCATTGCAAGCAAAGCAGCTAGCAAACGCACGTCGTAGCGCTAGCTTAACTAAGCTAACCCAGGTAGCCAGCCATGAACATGAACTACGGCTCCATGGGTCCTGGCGCGATGGTGCGGTGCAGGCAGTGCAGCTCGAGCATCACGGCGATGCCCGGCGCCCGCGCCGTGCAGTGCATGCAGTGCAGCTGCGTGACGCGCGTCAGCGGCCGTGGCCGGCAGCAGCACGGATACGGCCAGGGTTACGGCGGTAACGGCGGCGGGATGCTGATGCCGCCGATGCGTCCCACCCCGGCCTTCGGCGGCGGCCGCGGCAAGAAGCGCGCCGTGCTGATCGGGATCAAGTACACCAACCGGCGCTCCTGCGAGCTGCGGGGCCCCATCAACGACGTCAAGTGCATGCGGTACCTGCTCACCGAGCGCTTCGGCTTCCCCAACGACTGCGTTCTCATCCTCACAGGTTCGTAAACACGAACAAATCCAACATCTTTTCTTGTTTATTGAATCATACTTATTGTATAGTGTATACTCTGCAGACGAGGAGAGGAACCCGTGCAGGCAGCCGACCAAGGACAACATCCGCATGGCGATGCACTGGCTGGTGCAGGGGTGCAGCTACGGCGACTCCCTGGTGTTCCAGTTCTCTGGCCTGGGCGCGCAGGTGCCCGACGACGACGGCGACGAGCTGGACGGCATGGACGAGGCCCTCTGCCCCGTGGACTCGTTCCAGCAGGGCCCCATCCTGGACGACGAGATCAACGAGGCCATCGTCCGCCCGCTGGTGCACGGCGTCAAGCTCCACGCCATCGTCGACGCCTGCCACAGCGCCACCGTCCTCGACCTCCCCTACCAATGCACCGTGTCCAAGCAGTCAGTATCTCCTTAACTTTCTTAACCCCGATCCCGTCCATATTCGCATGCATCCATCACCTACTTACATATGTGTTGATCACTGATCAGGACCGGGCGCTGGAGGTGGAGGGACGAGCGCCCTATGACCGGCGCCTGCAAGGGCACCAGCGGAGGCCAGGCCGTGCTCATCAGCGGCAGCAGCAACGGAAAGAGCAACATGAGCGTGGTCAGTACTAGCATTGACAAGCTTTTTTTCTCATTCATTCATGTCTCTTTCGTTCTAACACGTCTGCCACCGGTGTGTGCGTGCAGCTGCCTGAGCCCTACGCCACGATCGGCGCCATGACGCACAGCTTCATCAGGGCGGTGGAGTGCGAGCCGCGCACCACCTACGGCCGCCTGCTCACCTCCATGAGGGCCATCATGCGCGACAGCAGCGGCAACTGCAACCTGCAAGGCCCCATCGGCGGCTCCATCCGCAAGGTCGCAAACTTCAGCGGCGTGGAGGTAAGCCAGATCTTCTCCCTCAAGTGTTAGCAGCATGCATCCTAGCTAGCGTAACTGTGGCCCATGGCACCATTTTTGCTCACATACACTGAACTGTGCATTCGGTTGAACTTTGCAGGAGCCTCAGCTGTCCTCTGCCTACAAGTTCGACGTCGAGCGCGAGCCGTTCTGCATGTAGAACCCGACCGTACCCGCGGTTCGACGTCACTGCGCCGCAGGCTACTGCAGTCGACGAATTAATTACTACCGAATCATGCATCGACCGTACTGAATAATGGGCCGGTTAATTAACTATGATGCTTGCTACTAGTATGTGCGACGATGTATCTCCTCACCTGTTGCCATGCCATCAAGAATGAGCACTGCATAGCTCATACAAATGCTCTCGAGGACCTCGTTCTCCACTGTACTTTACATCACTGTAACATGGCCGTTGTGTGTCGTGTCGTCCCCTTAAATAAATCAAGTTCTATGCATGCCGTTTGATCTCCGAAAGATATATATGGCGTCTAAACTGTGGAAATTATGGACATGTTCGGTTCGAGAATGGTAAACGCAAAGGTGAACTGGCATTGTGAACGGCACAAGCAAAATCATAAACATGTTTGGTTCAACTCCAAACGGCAGTGGATGGCTGCCAAAATATCAATCTTCCGTCCCCTCCGCGTCCGGCCGTCACTCCCAGCCGCGAGCCTTTGTGTACTACTAGTATATTTTTAGGTCAAGCTGATGGTTCTCCGACAATGATGGTGGTGTCATCTCGAATAAAAGTCCCCCGACTCCAATCCGTTTTTTTTTTTTGCGAGTGACTCCAATCCGGTGTGGCATTGCTAAGGAGCCCCTGAGTTCTTGTCCCCCCTTTTCTTGAATAACGGGTTGGCTATCTGTATTGTCCGTCGGCGTGGTTCCATGTACACCGGTGGTGACAACATTGTCTTCTTCGACAACCTCTTCCTTCGAGGCTTTGCAAGCAAAGTCGTCGGCTTGGTCTAGTGATATTAGTGCGTCTGCCTGTCTAGTACGAGGCGACTCCCCCGCTGATATGCTTGACGCGATTGTCAATCTCCGTCGTACATGGTGATCTACTATTGCGGTGATTCAACGAGGTTTATTTTTCTACAAGTCTTTGCAGGTACTTTGTTGGTTGAATTTCTCGATGTTGTTCATTTTTTCAACATGATGTTGTTCATTATATGTGTGCGCTATGGTGGTGCAACGGCGATACGTTCAAGTTCAGTTGCTCTGACAAAAAATTAGAGGCATTAGGGCATCTCCAAGGAAGACCCGCAAAACACCGGTATATGTCCAGTCGAACATATTTGTTCACTTTTGCAATTCACTGGGGACCTGTATCAATTCGTGAAGTTGTTCAAACATCCAAATTTCAATATTTTGGAAACAAACGCGGAGAGTTTTGTCGGAGTCTGGACATGCACTGACCAATCACATGCATGTCCCTCTTCTCTCTCTCTCCTCGCAATCATACATGCATGACCCCCCTCTTGCCTCTCTCATCTCAACCGGACATTAAACCACAAATAACCCATCACATGCTTGGTCTTCACCTATTTTTTTTCCTGATACTTTGTAATTAGCGTTGGATGGCTTTCCTTCCATATCATGTCTGTTAGATGGCCTTATTTATAGTCATAGTCTCCCCTTCGTTTTGGGGTCGTTTTCATTGTACCCTGTGTCTATATTGATCTAATATAAATCAGATATAATTTTGAAAAAGGGTAATGCATGGCTGACCGAAAGTGAATTCGACAAGCAACTTGGGGGTGGCTCTCCGTCCAAAAAATGGAAGATGCCGCACCTGGCCTATGCCCTCGCGGTCCATAAAGCAGCAGATGATGCCCGTCGGTGCCACCAACGTCGGATCGGACCACACGATAGCCTTCGAACCGTTTTATCTTCTCGTCCGGCTCACCACTCCTTGCCTAGATCTATCGGACACGCTTCTTTTTTTTTTGAGAAATTATCGGACACGCTTCTTATCGAGAGGAATACGTATCAGCTTTCACATGGGCCGGCGGGCTGGTACTTCTTCCTCCCCTCTCATTTTTCTTTCTGAGAATTGATTCTTGGTTCGAGATAGATTTGCATCGTTGTAGTCAGGTTTTTCAGCGAGCAGGTAACTTGGATTCTTTCGTGTTCCTTGATGGACATGGGAATTTCTCTATTTCTCTGAACAGAAAAAGAACATCTCAGATATTTCTCTTGCACAGGCTTCGGATTCCTTATGATCAGCTCCACCAACGAACCATTTATACCCAAAATGATATTCACTAACAGCATTTGCAACCAGGCATCCCAGATCCTCCTCAAACGCCAGGGCGGCCCGCCTGGTCACTGACCGGTCATAAAATTTTGACCCAGCCGGACGCCTCAAACATCCGGGCTGACTGGCACACCTTATATCCAGCCCAAATATGGACGGATATGGGGCGCCCGGTCGCGTCCGGGCACATATCACTAGTAGAAAAAGGGTCAAACGTGAAGCACATTAGTGCCGGTTTGAATTAGAGCCGGCACTAATGTGTACATTAGTGCCGGTTCGTGGCGGCGATCAATAGTACCGGTTCGTGGCGAACCTTTAGTACCGGTTCATGCCACGAACTGGTACTAAAGAGGTTGTGTTAGCCTGCGGTCAGGCTATGGCCCCACCATCACCATTTAGTGCCGGTTCGTATCACGAACCGGTACTAATGAGATTATGGCAAACTGTTTTTAGTCCCACCTCGCCAAGAGAGAGGCAGTATGAGCGGTTTATAAGCCGTGAGTGCACAGACAATGACGAAGAGTTGCAATGCTCATCTACATGTTGATTAGCTTCAAGCCTTGCGGAATAGCATAGATTGCACTGAGCTATGTGCAGTGCAGTCTACACTATTCCGAATGGCTTGAAGCAAATTAACCAGCATTGCACCTCTTTTTTATTTTTAATAACTTATTTAAACTCCGGACTTCTTTTGTGTTCAGTATGCAGCATTCAAAGCGACGTCATCAATTTCCAACATGTTCTGACATCATTTGTTGTTTTTCGGTCATTTACCTAATTGTTTAGAGAGCTAAATGACCGTGAAATTGAAAATCACTACAAAATGAATCCTGAAAATGTTGAAACTTTGCATGGTATCATCATATCACCCGCATAGCATGCGCGAAAGAGTAGAGAGGGTCACGACAAAAACTGGACGCACTTCGTGTACAAACTGGACAAACTCTTTCGGATTATCAGGGTTTCGGACGAGAACTTATCTGTTACATGGCCACTTCAATGTTTTTTATACTTATTTGAACTCCGGACTTCTTTTGTGTTCAGTATGCAGCATTTAAAGCGACGTCATCAATTTCCAATATGTTCTAACATCATTTGTTGTTTTTCGGTCATTTACCTAATTGTTTAGAGAGCTAAATGGCCGTGAAATTGAAAATCATTACAAAATGAATCTTGAAAATGTTGAAACTTGGCATGGTATCATCATAT